GAAAGGCAAGAATAAAATTAATATGCCGGCTGTTTTCCTTTTATTAGTTATTTTAAGTATGAAAATATTAATAACTAGGATTTTAAACATATGTACATTCACTGCTTCTCTCTTTTTCAGAGTGTATATACGTATATATGTGTTGGTGTAGATGAAAATATGACATCTGAGATAACCATATAACAACTACCATCTCTATATCTGGTTAATGAGATTATTTACTCTCACATCTTAAGCACGGACATTTACATAAGCATACTCTCCACTCATCACATACCACTATATAGGATGGGACATAGGCACCGACTCCATGGGTGCTCCGGCGCTCAAGCACCCACCGAAAAAACATAGGGGGTACTCAGCACCCGAAGGGCCGGATTAATCTTTAGTGTGTCCCACCCCCTGCTCCACCTGTGCTCCATCCTGAAGTCCCGCCTCTTCCCCCATGGCCCTGGCCCCACTCAGCCTCTTTCCCTCTTGCACGGAGGGGAGGGGGCAGAGAGGAGCACCCACCAGCAAAAACAAAAGTCAGCCCCTGTGGGCTAGGAGAAGACAAACATACTGCACTGAACATGAGACTGAAATAGTACAGTATATGGAGTATAGTAGTAAAGTACTAAACATGGTGATACTCAACATCTGAAGTGATATTATGTGTTGTCCCTCTTAAGAGGAGTTTCATAGAACTTGCAACCCATGGATGAGGACTAAAGTGGCTTTAAACTACCTATGTGCCCTCCTGATCCTGTTTAGGAAATTGAAAGACCCTAACTTTGGTAGCCTTGTGGGTCATTCTAAGTTACATCAGCTTCTAGGGTCTACTGTATGAGCTATAGCAATGCCCATAGCAACGCCCGGAATCACCACAGCATTGTCTCATACAGCCATGCCCCTACTACCACAGGCATGACCTGTATGTCAGCAGTTCTCAAACTATAGCAACCCAAGGACGCCCATTTTGATTTAAAATTTTTCAGGGACCTCCAAGCCTCAGCGCTCAGCCCCAGGCCCTGTTCCCACCTCATCCTTTCCATTTAAGCCCCGCCCCACCTCTTCCCGCCCTCTGGTCACTCCATCCCCCATCCCTCTGTTGCTCAATCTGCCCCACCATCACTCACTTTCACCAGACTGGGTCAGGGGGTTGGGATGCAGGAGGGGACATGGGCTGTGGGAGGGAGTTTGGGTACAGGAGGGGGTTCAGGGTGTGGGCTCTGGGAGAGAGTTTGGGTGCAGGAAGAGATTCGGGGTGCGGGCTCTGGAAGAGAGCTTAGGTACAGGGGGGGTGTGGGAGGCAGGCTCTGGGAGGGAGTTTGCGTACAGGAGTAGGTTCGGGGTGCGGGCTCTGGCAGGGAGTTTGAGTGTGGGAGCGGGTGAGGGGTGCAGGCTCCAGCCAGGCAATGCTTAACTTGGGCAGCTCCCGAAAGCGACCGGCACATCTCTCTGGCAGCAGCTTCTAGGTGGGGGGGCCAGGGTGTCTCCCCGCACTGCCCTTACCCAAAAGCACTGCCCCCGCAGCTCCCACTGGCCGCAGTTTCCTGCCAATGGGAGCTGCAGAGCCAGTGCTCAGGAAGGGGGCAGCATGGGGAGACTCCCTGCCCCCCTCACCCCTCCAGGGGCCACAGTGACATGCCATCTGCTTCCGGGAGCAGCACAGAGCCAGGGCAGGCAGGGAGCCTGCCTTAGCCCTGCTGTGCCACCGGACTGGGATCAAACAGGCAAAAAGTAAAAAACGAGCAATATATATAGTGAAGTAATGTGACTAAATTAAACACAGACATAGGACAAGTGCAGAGTCCTGCACTTATGACGGAAGAATCCCATGCACTGCTATAGGCTGGAGACTGACTGGCTAAGCAGCAGTTCTGCAGAAAAAGACCTGGGGATTACAGTGGACGAGAAGCTGGATATGAGTCAATAGTGTGCCTTTGCCGCCAAGAAGGCTAATGGCATATTGGGCTGAATTAATTGGAGTACTGCCAGCAGATCGAGGGAAGTGATTATTCCCCTCTATTTGGCACTGCTGAGGCCACATCTGGAGTATTGCGTCCAGTTTTGGGACGCTACAGAAAGGATGTGGACAAATTGGAGAGTCCAGCGGAGGGCAACGAAAATTATAAGGGGTCTGGGGCACATGACTTATGAGGAGAGGCTGAGGGAACTGGGCTTATTTAGTCTGCAGGAGGGAAGAGTGAGGGGGGATTAGATACCAACTACCTGAAGGGGGGTTCTAAAGAGGATGGATCTAGGCTGTTCTCAGTGGTGGCAGATGACTGAACAAGGAGCAATGGTTGCAAGTTGCAGTGGGGGAGGTCTAAGTTGGATATTAGGAAAAACTATTTCACTAGGAGGGTGGTGAAGCACTGGAATGGGTTACCTAGGGAGGTGGTGAAATCTCCATTCTTGGAGGTTTTTAAGGCCCGGCTGGACAAAGCCCTGGCTGGGATGATTTAGTTGGGGTTGGTCCTGCTTTGAGCAGGACGTTGAACTAGATGACCTCCTAAGGTCTCTTCCAACCTTAATCTTCTATGATTCTATGATAAGGGTGCTTCACTGTTTGTCTCAGGAAGAATGATATTCTGTACATAAACTGAAAGGGAGAAAATAAGGAGCATGTTCTACACTTATCTGAAGAAATATGGCAAGTTTATCTATCCCCAGTAGTTTAGCTTATTATTCTTTGAACGCTGGCTGTAAAACTGCTGTATGTAAATATGTAAACCTTTCCCATAACCCAATCTGCCACACCCAGATTCTCTTGCAAGGCAACCTATTCATAGTAATATATCCGCTCTACCCTGTAGAAACAGAAGAAGAAGAAAAACAAAATAGAGATCTACCACTGGATCTCCATCACAGGAACATTTCACTCTAGGCAAATAATACATATGTATATACTCTTCTGCTATGCAAAAGTGCTAACTACAGCAGAATACCTCTGTAGCTCATCCCTAACAATACTAACTTACATTTTTACTGTGCATTCCATGGGAAAGATCCCAAAGTGCTTTAAAAATCACTGAAGTTCTGTCACCTCCTTAGGGTAATGTAGTAATACTCAGCAATACTACAGAACAATGTGAGAAGGCAAGCAAGGCATACCTTATTCATCTGAACCCGGGGGAATATTTAGGTACACAAGACGTAATAACCCAAATATGAACTTGGCCTGGACATCTGGGTTAAAGACCTTAGTCTGTAAAAAGCACTACAGGACTTTTAATGACTCTAGGCAGTCAGGACTTTGGCTTTATATCTCATCTAAAAGTGGGCACTTTTAACAACACAGTGCTCAGGATGTTAGCTCAGTATTGATTCAGAGGGAAGATGGCCACCTACTGAATTACCAATATAACTTCTTAAAGTGCATGGATTTTCACTGAGGTGCTGGCCAGATCTGATGTTGTTTAGTTTGTGGAAACTGAAGAGATCACACACTAATATTGTATGGCTGCAAGCAACTCAAACTTTATTAGCAATGAAAAGAAGCCTTGAAGTGCCACACTACAGTTAAATTAGGACAGAATGTTGTTTTACTACATATGCACTCGTACTTTTAATAGTCAAGGTTGCTCAGAGCACTGTCCAACATTCTAGTGGCAATGTAGAACACTAAGGATGGAACGCTGGCCCCACTGAAGTCAATGGGGCTTGGATTTCACTCAAGGTGATGAACTGTAATTAGCTTTGCACACATTCACGTGGGAAGGTGCATGAAAAGGTTAAAGGGGCTAAAAGGAAAGGGAGAGCGCTCCCACTCCTCTCCTGGGCTTGGGGAAGCAGTTTTTCTCCACAACTTCTTTTCCTATTTAGCTGGTGCAGTAGCTGGTTGTTTCAATCTGCTATAATCACAGGGTGCAAGGATTACCTCTCCCTGCAACCCAAAACATCTCTGCAAGGAATAATTCTAGTTCCACTCCTTGTCCAGACTAGCACTGGCAGTGCCACCAACGTCCCAAAAGCCAGTGGAGAGGACTATGTAGGGGAGGGCACACTGCCATCTTTCATTCTTTCAAAAGGTACAGCTGGGGCAAACCTGGCCTGCACTACTCAGTGACGTCATGTCTGAGGCTAGTAATACATCTCTGGGAGTCTCACCTGATTCAAAGCACTTCTGTGCTGCTGTCTATTGCAACCAGCAGTTTAAAGCCAAAATCTGGCCATAAATATGTCAGCAAACAGAACAGCCAATAGTCTTAACTATAGTTTTTACACAACCTTTGACCTAAGGATGTTTGGCTGAGAGCAGGAGTGTTCCCAAGAATATCAAGTATCTTAAAGTCTGACCAGCTCCAGTTCTTACACTTCTCTTTACTCTTTGACTACAGATGTAGTCCTGAATTTAAAACAGACGAGATTCCATTGCCTTATGTTGTAAACAAATCATTATTTAATCAGCATTGTATTATTTAATCTAATTATGTAACTATGGAAACAATAATAAAGCACTAAAATACTATATAAAGTTTGGAACTTTTAAACAGAACCACAAACCTTCCATGTGGTATAATCATCATCACACAGAAAAATCCTTCTATGATGGATTGCCAAAAAACATATTGGAAAATATAACAGTAATATATCAGAGGAAAAAAATCCTGAAGCTTGAAGGTGTTTTCCATTACAAATTAAATACACTTCTAGGGTTATTTAATAAAAACCGCAACAATATCAAACCTAGTTCATTAGTGAAATAGGGAAGAGATTATTAATCTCCAAAGTGTTATACTGAACTTGGACTCTGAAGACTTGGAAATACCCTATGGCAATTATTGATCAAGAGTGAGGAGAGTGCTACAGACAATGCTTACGCTTCATACCGGAGGTGGGGAAAAAGAAAAGAAAAGAAAAGAAAAGAAAAGAAAAGAAAAGAAAAGAAAGGTGGCAGCAATTGAAGTGTGTTAAAAATTTTAACGTCAAAACACACACATCCTCTGGGAACCGAAATGCAGGAATTGTTACAGGACTGTATATTAGGTTAGATTGTCTACAGGAAAATATACCTGGCTAGATTGAATGCATCATCGATCAAACCTGCTCGATTACTGACAGAGATAACCTGTGAGGGGAAAACCAGAAAAACGGAACCATTCAGGATGATAAAAGCAGTGCCACAGCTCGTACGGCTCACACATTAAAGCAGATCCTCGACATGAAACTAGGAGCTTACCTCATGGTTCCTCATTAGTTGGTCAATTAACAACCTCCAATTCCTGACGTCATAGTTAACCCGAAAATAGCCAGTTTGATTGATGTTCCCCAGCAACCAGCTTGTCTCGTCTAAAGCAGCAATTCTGTGATGTTCTGGAAACAAAGAACAATGTAAGGAAAAGGTTATTTTTTTAAATTTGAAAAGGATTTAACATTGTAAAAGAACATATTTTACTTATTTTTTCTTAAAAGGAATACTTCTAGGAGTAAAATAATTATTTCAATTTACATAATCTTTATAAATCACGAGTAAAATATTTTAAAGAATAGATGAACACTAATGACACAGTTAATTTTGTGGGTTAATTATAATTTTCAACATGTGTTCCACTAATCTAAAGGGGCAACTCAGTATGGACCCTGATCTTCCAACTCAACCAGAACCCATGAGGATCCAGTTACAAAATCGGGGCCCTGGCGAGGCATTTTTTCCAAAGTATCCTTAATTAAATGCCTGGGAAATCAATTGCTACTTCAAGACTTGGAGCCTGATTCCGATCTCCCTACCTAAGTTTTACACCAGTGTAACTCTGTTGATTTAAAGGGAGTTATTTCTGGTTTACACCAGTGAAAGTGAGATCAGAATCAAGCCCTTGCTTTATAGGTAAACCCTAAATAGTTTTGTGCATAATCAATGGGAGCAGGAGCAGGTCCTTTAGTCTCAGGTTTCTAATTGAAAGTGTTTCCAGCAGCTTGGTTTGTAGCCACTAGTCACTGAAAATATCTTTTCATTTTAACCAGTTAATCTTACACTGTATGTGTTTTTATTTTCATTCCTTTTTAGACATTCAGCAACAATTTAGGCCTAATCCCATGAACACTTCTGTAAGTACTTAACATTGTTTTCAAGGTGACTACTCATGTGCTTGAAGCATGCACTAAACATCTGCAGGACAAACACATGCCACATTTCTTTAACTTCAGTGAAATTGCAAGGAATGCAGGATCAAGCCCCAAGTGTCTCATAAAGAATGGCTTAATTTAGTAAATTATTTTGATTCTACTAGTTTTTACTTTAAACTAGGATTTGCTAGAAAATCAAAAGGTGTTTGTTTTTTTTAAATTATTGCCACACAAAGTTAAGGTAATTTAGCCTGTACGCACTTGATCAAAGCTACAGCCTAATATTTGTTTTCCTTGTCATCTTTTTTAAAAAGAAAACTACATGCAGATTTCTCTTGGACGTAGTTCCAATGGGAAACTGATTAGTGTGCCTGAACTATGTAAAACTAGTGAAATTATGAAGTGAAATGCAAATAAATATGGTTTGATAATTCACATATGCCATCTAATACTAGATACGTTGACATACTAGACAACCTGGTTTTCACTTATGGTATTCTTTGTAAAAAGAATTAAAACTATGGGTGTAGGGTACACGTGACACCTCCATTTTAACTGTAACACCAGTAGCACATGATAAGATAGATGACAATAATCAAAACTTTAAGGTGCAGCAATACAGACCACAAAAACCCTGATTCTACAAACACAGAGCACATATGCAACTTTATGTATGCTTGCAGTTCTGTTATGCACATGAGTTCAGTTAAATGTTGGCAGGACCAAAGCCTCCATAAATTACTACAACACAATTCTGTCACTGATAAGGTTTTTCTAATATTAATATTTTTAAAAACACTTTTTTGGAAGTTGCAAAAGACTTATCCAATTCACTACTTGTTATTTTTCTGCTGAGGCTTACCTAGACTTGCACCAGTTTAAACAAACAAGTTTAATTAAAGAGGTTTATATAAAATTGTGAAAACTCCTATGAGGGCACAAGTATATTGGTTTAAGACTGTTTACATCAGTTTGGCTTGCTCTGCAAATTTATGAGGGCAACCAAACCACTATAAGCCAGGTTTAAATTGATTTAAGAGTTTCAACACCCAAAGTTTCACCCATTTAACTAGACTGGTTTTAAAAAATCACACTTTTAGCTAAACTGATTCAACTTTATGTGTAAGCAGACTAATTCCTTTTTAATTATACAGTAATATAGGGAGGGACAAATGAGACAGCTTTGGACAGGAGTAAAGGACACATTAACTCCTTACTCTTTTATGTTTCAACTCGTCATTTGCCGTACCTATCCTTGTTAATATAACCATGGCTGGCATAGAAGAGGATGCAGAGGGACTCTGTATCCAGAGTCAAGACACACGAAGATTCCTGGCACAACAGGAAATTGATTGAAATAAGATCTCCACGCTGAAAATAGGATCTGAAAATTATGCTCCTCTCCCTGCAGAGAAGCTACCAGCATTACTGCAAGGAGGAGAGGTTATGGGTATGATTCAGTGTTACAGATGGCTGTGTACTCTCCCACATGTCAACTGATGGGGTAGAATAGTGGTGGAAGGGCTGTTTGTCTGCAATGGGCCCATCCATTGCGAGTTATAGCTTTGTTTTGTACTTCACAGGTGACAGAAGCCAGGATTAAGCTCATCACGTTTTTTAGTAAGTGAAAATTCATTATGGATATTTTTACTGGTTATACTTGTTTCTGTGTATGACTTTTCTATTAGTAATTGTGCTTTAATTGCTGCAGTATTTGAAAATAACGACTCATAAATGGTTAATCCATACCATTAAATTAAGTCTAAAAACCCTTCAAAATTGGCAAAGATCTAAAATTAGTTATGAACCAATGTTGTCCAATAACCTGCAATAACGAAGTGCAGACTATCTAGATAAGGTAGGTGTGTGATAAAATAAAGGGAACAAATACATACACACCCTTCTGATAAAAGTAAAAAGAACAGGAGTACTTATGGCACCTTAGAGACTAACAAATTTATTAGAGCATAAACTTTTGTGGGCTACAGCCCACTTCATTGGATGCATAGAATGGAACATATAGTAAGATATATAGATATATAGATATAGATATATACACACACACACACATACAGATAAGTTGCAAGTTACCCTACAAACTATGCCTTGCATAATGACAGGTTTCAGAGTAGCAGCCATGTTAGTCTGTAGCCACAAAAAGAAAAGGAGTACTTGTGGCACCTTAGAGACTAACAAATTTATTTGAGCATAAGCTTTTGTGAGCTACAGCATCCGTGAGTTGCATTTGATGAAGTGAGCTTTAGCTCACAAAAGCTTATGCTCAAATAAATTTGTTAGTCTCTAAGGTGCCACAGGTACTCCTTTTCCTCATACAAACTGTGAGAGGCTAATTAGTTAAGATGAGTTATTATCAGCAGGAGAAAAAAACTTTTGTAGTGATAATCAAAATGGCCCATTTAGACAGTTGACAAGAAGGTGTGAGGATACTTAACTTAACGAAAAAGATTCAATATGTGTAATGACCCAGCCACTCCCAGTCTCTATTCAAACCCAAGTTAATGATATCTAGTTTGCATATTCATTCAAGCTCAGCAGTTTCTCACTGGAGTCTGTTTCTCAAGCTTTTCTGTTGCAAAATTGCCACCCTTAAATCTTTTACTGAGTGGCCAGAGAGGTTGACTATGTAAGCTATTTATGCCACATGACATGATATAGCATGATACCTGCCAGTCCAAGCTGACAACTTCAAAATACTCTCTTCCATAAATATTAGCTGTAGGATGTGTCATACAGAGATCGCGCTGATACAGAACAGCAGTATCTTTTCAAAAACTGAAAATGTTATCCCTGCTTTCAGTCAGTTTTAACTACAATCATAACCTCTTTTTTTTTCCATAAGGCCATTGATATTTGACCTTTTCAAGCAAAAGGGGGCAGGAATCTTTCTATGCCATCCCAGCTCAAACAAGCAGGTGGTTATGGTAAAGGGTTGTCTGATGCATGTACTTCACATAATTCTATATAATTTACTGGAATTTGATGTTGGAGCCTGTGTGTATTCTCATAAATTTCTATACACAAAGTTCTCTTTTCCCCCCAGTGATTTTCTGGTGGTTATGTGCAACTGAAAACCACTATACACAGGCAATTTCCCCACTTATCAAAAACATATTTATTAAACTATCACAGTAGAAACACTACAGTTCAGGAGAAGGTGGCATCCCCTTCTAAACACTATATTCAATCATTCATAAATTTCTCAAAAGATATTCCTTCTGGGCAGAAATCTCTCATTACTGATTGCAAAGATTGATTTTTTAAGTTCAGACTAAACTATACAGTTATTTTTGAGTTTTAGGGAAATAAAAAAATGCATCCTACTTTTTTTCCTTTACAAATATTGTTAATTGGTTAATTCAGGCGGAGTGAAGAGGTCTTAAAGTTGGGGTTAATTACATTTGCACTCACTGTAAATAATTAACTCCCTTTCCACTCTTGCAGTGGAAAGAGACCTTAAAGAGGCATTAGTGATAGGTCTAGGGGAGACAAGGCAGTTTGTTGTTTTTACACGAGTTAACATATTAAGTTAAAGACTGTGGGAGAGCACAGGGTTAACCTTTACCTACTAACTCTTGTTAAAACCACAGGTCCCCTTGTCTTCATAGGATGTTATCTTGTGTTAGTTGCTATGTTAGCTAAGACAAGAATGAACCTTTTTCCTTAGTGAAGACAAGGGCTAAATGAGAATCAGGCCTAATCACTTGAAGTTCTGACCTCCTACTCTCAAGGTTCTGAATGGCCTCAACTCCCTTTGAGATCAGTAGTTATGGATTTTGGGCACCCTGAAGGGGGAACTCAGCATCTTGCAAGATCAAATCCATGCATCGAGCATCCATCTGGAAGGAAGTGCCTTGATGCTGACAAACATATGGGCCTTGTCACAAGCCGCTTTTATAATGATTTAACTATTTTGGTTAGAAGTGTCATTTTTCTACATAAATTGTTAAATTAACATGGAATAAAGCTCTCTTATGCTGGTATTGCTTATTCCCTTTCCCCACAGGAATAGTAATACCAGTATAAGGCACATTTATACCAGTGAGGGCTGGTTGACAAGTTTCAGAGACCTTTTTCAATTAAAAAAAATGCTGTTTTGGCAAAATGAAGATACTTTGCAGGAGCATATCAGTTTCAACAACATTTTTCTAAATTTTTTGGTGGGAAAATTTCAAACCAAAACAAGTCAAATGAAAATGAAATATTTTATTTAAATATGATTCAACTATTAT